GGGGCGAAGAGAGAGGGGGAGAGAGAGAGAGCCGGGGGGAGAGAGAGAAGGGGGGGAGAGAGAGACAGAGAGAGAGACTGGGGGGGAAGAGAGGGAACGGGGGAAAGAGAGAGACTGCCCCCCCCTGTCCTTTTCTAAAAAGTTGTACTGTGATCTGGAACCCACATTCTACAACTTGATTGTGTGGTTTGGAGAAATGAGGTCAGCTTCCTGATGATTTTCAATTGGTCAGTCAACTGCTATGGGTGTCAGAAGTGGTAGGGTCTGACCAAAGTAATGGCATCACTGTAGATGTGCAATGGATTTGTTTGTATTATGCTCAAGTGCTATGTCTCCAGCTTGAACAACACATAGCCCACCATCATTTTTCACAAGAGCAAAACCATGGCTGAGTAGTATTTCCGTTGAACTAGACCCACCCAGTGCTACAGACGGTGGGAGTTTCTAAAAACACACCAGCACAGATCCTTCATTCAGCTGAGCAGTTTTATTAGATTTCAAGAGGACCAAGTTAAGCATGTGCTAATTTGACCCCACCAAAGTCAACAGGACCTACAAATGTATAACTTTGTCTGCATTATGCCTTAACAGACTGTAATTTCACTAGAGAAAAATGGATTTCAGTTCTAGCCCATATCATCAAAAAAACCCAGAAGGTACTCTTTCTCCCTTTGCTGGCAGAAAAATAGCTATACATTTCTCAAAGAGTTCAAACAGCAGTTGTATTTAAGAAGTATGACTCAGTGTGCTGCGTCCTTCATGGCAACTGATGCTTTCTCTCCTCTGGGGAATTTCTAAACCTAGCTTTGAAAACACGAACAGTCAAGTGGAAATATTCTAAACAGTTTCAAAACAGCCCTATTTGGGTTTGTACTAGCAGGCAAGAGGAACTGAATAGTTCAGCAGTCAATATGCTTTATCTGCTTTACCTAAACACAGCACAAATCATCCCCCTCCTCACACACAGATAGGTTGTCTCTGGGCAGAACTGTTTAACTATCTTGTGCTAATGTTACTAGACAGAAGGGAGAGAAGAATTTCAAATGTGTAACAGCATGACGCAAATTTGTTATATATACAGAATGTGTAATACAGCTATACAGTTATTTTTTAAAAAGTGTGAAACGAATTTTCTTAAGAATGCATTCATCCACAAGTCAATGTTGTTTACATTTTCTTCTCTGTGGTTTGATGCCATCCCCTAAATTGGACAGAATGTACATTCATTTTTAAACTGGCTTTCTAACCCACATTGACATTCAGAAACAGCAAGAGGGATGGCTCTTTTGCTGTCATGCATAAAAACATACTAGACTTATTTAGAACGCCACTTAACATGGAATACAAACATCACTTCATTCCACTGTGGCAGCTCTGTTTTCCCTCCCTGTTAGCAATATTTATTCCATTTAAAAATTAACCATTTCACAACACAGCATTCAAAGAGCACTTGTTTTGAAATTAAGCCCAACACTGATATAGGAAAAATGGCTTTGGAATGGATTTTACAGTAGTTTACAAACGGCTCCCAGGAAGAACTTAATGGGTATTTCCAAGCAGACACATTCAGTGCAATCTTAACCACAGTTACACCCTTCTACATCCACTAACCAACAGATTTAGAAGGGTGTATAGATGGAGAGCCACAGAGGTTCACAGCAAACACAATGGTAAGAAAATAATAAGGGATTGGATCCAGCAACTCATCAGATTTTTCCTGCTTTCTCCTTCCTCCCAGAAACTATATCTATTCCCAGGGAAGTTAATTCCTGGCAACATCAGGGGACGGTCTCATCCTCCATGCCCTGTTGTTGGTCCTCCAGAGGAACTGGCTGGTCACTGTGCGAGACAGGATGCTGGACTAGATGGACCACTGGTCTGATCCATCAGGGCTCTTCTTATGTTCTTATGATAGCTACATGTGGTGGCTGGCTGGAGGGAAAGGAAGTAAAATTGCCCTTCCTGTACCATGACCATTAAAAGCCACCATAGCAACAGTCCCAGGGCGCTTCCTGCTGCTCACACACACAAGGGCATTATTAATCTCTTCCTCAAGGAAATTATGTTTTCCTCAATATTTCCTTTACTATGTGGTAAAGCAGTAGGTGCAGTAGGTGC